CGCTCAACGCGTCGGGTACGACTGGCGCGCGCGAGCTGCGGGTCGGCCCCGCACGAGGCGCGAGGGGCGCGGGGGCGCGGAACGACAAGTCCGGCGCCTGGCATCCGCTGGGCGCATGGCGTCTGGACAGCGATCGTCCAGGTTTGGGGGGTGGGAGGACCGGCAGGGCAGCCTAGGAGTCGTCCGCGGGATCGTGGGCCAGAGCGCGACCCTGGAAGCAAGCAGTGCCTTTGGAAACAGTCTCCACATCAGCGCTCTGCCCGAGTGCCTTTCTAAACTATCGCATTCCTTGGGATTACAGTCAGAAGAAACTCAAAGTAGCCTGGCACGTCCTCCCTGCTAAGTAGTTGTCGGGCATGCAGCGTCCACCCAGAAAGCCCACATTCGGCCCTTTTTTTTTTTTTTTGCAAACCAGCTGGGGTGGCCGGGGAAGTGGCATGCAGTCAGTGGAGAGGTGGTTCGTGCTTGGATGAATGAACTCGCTTAACTTTCTTCCCAGACACCTTGGGTGTTCAGGAGAACTCCCACACACTGCATTTACGTGGATGTAGCATCCTTGGACTCTGCCTCGGGGTTGGCCCTGGGGTTTGGCCCAGACCGTGCTGGATCACTCACTAAGCCAGAGGGGTAACCCCGCACTTGCCCAGCTGGGAAAGCACTGCTTTTCTGGCTTTTAACGTGTCTTTTTCTCTCTGTTCTGGGCTGGCCGCTGCAGCCCTCAAGCTGGATTTGGAGGAGAAACTGTTTGGACAGCATCTGGCCACGGAAGTGATTCTCAAGGCTCTGACTGGCTTCAGGAACAACAGAAATCCCAAGAAACCTCTGACCCTTTCCTTGCATGGTTGGGCTGGCACAGGCAAGAATTTTATCAGCCAAATCGTGGCAGAAAATCTTCACCCAAAAGGCCTGAAGAGTAACTTTGTGCACCTGTTCGTATCGACTCTACACTTCCCTCATGAGCAGAAGATAAAACTGTACCAGGCAAGAAACCCCATTATTTTCTAGCCCACAGGCCACTCGGACTGGCCTGGACGGCCTGCGCACTGATTCTGGCCTCTGCTTCTCTTTGCCTTGCAATACCCCAGGCTGCAGAAAGTTAAGGCACACTTAGCCCCGAGGTTCCAAAGTTCTCCTGCAACTTTTCTTTCTCCCTTTCGAAATAATCCCGTGGGGGTGGGAGTGCCAAAGATGAAGGCAAGAGAGGCAATGCTCCTTAATCTTTGAGACCCTTAAGTTGTTGGTGGGGCAGAAACGTGAACCTGAAGTTCCCAGCTCTGAGGTTGGTCTCAGCAGAGCACCCTGGTAGGTGGGGCCACCTTAGCCACTGTGCTGGGGTGCGGCTCTGTGTCCTCCTCCCCGGTACAGGTTCAGCTCTGCCTCTGCATTTGGCATGTAGAACAGAAGGTTTTGTTTTTCCCCCTTAAATGGCTTTTATTCCCTTTTCTTCTATCCTTGACTCCTGGCCGTTGCTTTCTTCAAGAAAAGCCTCAAAGGACTGATCTTCAGATGATTTCTCCTTTCAAGCTGTTTTTTCTACAGTAATTTATGTTAAGTTGTGTAGCAGGGTTAGTTCTCGTTTAAATGAACATTATCCTGGTCAGGGTTGATGTTCCTGCTGTTAGGTGAGGACTGAAAGGAGAAACTGAAACTTAACTGAACAAGGAAGTGAGAGTGGCTGTTTCCACACACACCATGAGGCAGGGAAGGGTGCCAGGGAGGAGATCTAGGTCTCTCACTTTCCGAATTCTCTCACCGATCGTTAACAGTAAGAGAGATGGGGTGTCTCGGGGGCTTTCACATTTTGGAGTTGACGGCTTTATTCTGGGGTGTGTCAAGAACGCAGCGGGCAAGTGTTTTCCCTGCAGTGTCATCTGGGCCGGCTCTGCTGTTCACTGCAGCAGTAGGGGCATCGGTCTTGGGCGACGTACAGGTCTCCATCTCGCTCCTTAGTCCTCCTGTGTCTGGTGATGTTACCTTGCAATTTGGGTCCACAGTGAGATGAGAATTATGGGTTGGTTAACAGTGAGTGCTAAATGTTCATGAGTCTTACACCTCTTATGCCTTTGAAAAATCACATTTGGCATGTCCTTCGAGTTGGGACAGATGTTACCTTGCAATTTGGGTCCACAGTGAGATGAGAATTATGGGTTAACAGTGAGTGCTAAATGTTCATGAGTCTTACACCTCTTATGCCTTTGAAAAATCACATTTGGCATGTCCTTCGAGTTGGGACAAAACTGCACTTCAGCCTCCAGCTCTCTGCAGTTTCGCCTTCCCTGCTGAGTGGAGGTGAGGGTGTAGGTTCCACGTGTTCTTGATGCCCCAGAGAGCGCTGGTTGTTGCCCTCCCCGGGCAGGAGGGGCAACATGGCGCTTCCCTCCCCTCGGGCCTCCGAAGAGCCTCAGCGTCCTGTCTCTTGCACGGTCGGTCTAGGACCAGTTACAGAAGTGGATCCGTGGTAACGTGAGTGCGTGTGCCAGCTCGCTCTTCATATTTGACGAGATGGATAAACTGCACCCCGGGGTCATCGACGCCATCAAGCCCTTTCTGGACTACTATGAGCAGGTCGACGGCGTGTCCTACCGCAAAGCCATCTTCATTTTTCTCAGGTCAGTGGAAGGCTGGTTCTCGGGGTGCACAGGCCCTGGTTCTCCCCGTGCCAGGATTAAGTGCCCACTGACCAGCAGCCCTTTGTTTGCCAGGGACCACGTGCCAGCCTGGAAGTCACTTCTCACTTTAACCCCCCGCTGCCAGTATCAGCATGGTACAGGGAGGGCGGGGAGAGTGAGCTGAAGAAGTTGTCCTGGGGCCAGCAGTCAGTGTAATGGCTCTGTCGTTGGACTCCCACGCAGTCGACCACAGTTCGCATCCCGGACCTGGTGGCTTAGACTCACGCCGGGCGTGTGTGCGTGCGTGCCCAAGATCCCGAGAGGAGAATGGAGGAGAAGGGATTGCGGCGTGGCCATCCTCCCTGGGGGTGATTTCTCGCTTTCTGTCTCTCTGTCTCTCTCTGTCTGGTGAGCGCATGTGCCCTATAGCGAAAACCTCTTAAAAAAAAAAAAAGCCGTCCCTGCTGACAGGCAGTTTTTACTAACTATGCATGTTGTCCTCAAGGGTAATACAGCGCCCTAGCATCTCAGCAAGTTCTGTCCTTTGGAACCTTTTTTTTTTTTTTAAGGTTATTGTCATAAGGCATGTGCATTTGCTGGAGAGAAACAGAGACGGAAAGTGAGAAATCACCTCCCAGGGGATGGCCATGCTGCAGTCCCTCCTCCTGCATTCTCCTTTCCGCATTGTAGGCACACATCCACACGCACCCAGTGTGATTTTCAAGCCACTAGGTTCGAGATGAGAGCTATGGCCAGCCATGTGGGGTCCAGTGCCTTAACCTCCATGCCACCCGCTGGCCCCAGCCCAGCAAGTTCGAAAGAAACATACTTCTTTTTTTTTTTTTAAAGAATTATTTATTTAATTCCATTTGTGATTATTATTTTTTAATTTGACTAGAGAGAGACAGAGAGAGAGGGTAAGCAAGAAAGTAAGCCCCCAGGTCTGGCACTTAACTGCGGTCAGCTATGTGGGAATCCAGCGCCTTTATCCACCATGCCACCTGCTGGCCCAAAGAAACACATTTCAAGTGCTTTGAGAGCAGACACTTTGTTTTATTTAGTTTGGTCTTGTAGCACCTAGTGAATATTTCTTAAGAATAAACTTTAGGGGGCCAGCAGGTGGTAAGGTGGTTAAGGGCACTGGATTCTCAAGTGGCCAACTGCGATTTGAGTCCCAGACCAGGTGGCTTGCTTTCTCATTTTCCCTCTCTCTCTTTCTGTCCCCCTCTGGTCAAATTAAAATAAATAAAATTAAATAATTCTTAAAAAAAAAAAAGAATAAAACTTGAGGACCAGCCATAGTGGTACAGGCAGTAGGGGCTCTGCCGTACAAAGGCCAGAGCCATACAGAAGGCTTTGGGTTCATCCGTGGATCCCCCGAGCATGCCAGGTGTGCCCACAGTCCTCACTGGCTGCAGGGCAGCAGGAGCAGTACAAAGACCCCATTACGGGTGCCTGTCTATTTCTCTCATGAAGGAATAAAGAACGCTGAGCCCAGGAGGTGGGAGATGGGATGGTTCAGGGGCTGGATTCACACATGGCTGACCACAATCTGAGTCCCGGACCTGGTGGCTTGAAAATCATACCGGACGTGCATGCTTGCATGCCCAAAATCCCCAGAGGAAAATGAAGGAGAAGGGATTGTGGCATGGCCATCTCCTCTGGGGAGTGACTTCTCACTTTCCCTCTTTGTGTCTCTGGTGAGCACACACGCCCTACGGTGAAAACCCTAAAAAAAGGAAGAGAGTAAGCCTTAGCACAGGTGCGTGTCCTGATGAGACACAGACGCCTTAACCTGTGTTTAACGTTTGTTTTCTGGCACACCAGCAATGCGGGTGGGGACCTCATAACCAAGGTGGCCCTTGACTTCTGGCGGGCAGGAAGGAAGAGGGAGGACATTCAGCTGAAAGACCTGGAGCCTGTGCTGTCTGTTGGAGTCTTCAATAATAAACACAGTGAGTCCCCTGGGCCCCGGGGAGCCGTCACTCTGCCAGCAGAGCACATGGCCTGGTGTGGGATGGCAGGAACCCCAGCTGGGTCTCGTTTTGCAGGTGGCCTGTGGCACAGTGGGCTGATAGACAGAAACCTCATCGATTACTTCATCCCTTTCCTGCCCCTGGAGTACAGACATGTGAAAATGTGCGTGAGGGCCGAGATGAGGGCCCGTGGCTCTGCTGTAGATGAAGACATTGTCACCAGAGTAGCCGATGAAATGACGTTTTTCCCCAAAGACGAGAAAATCTACTCAGACAAGGGTTGCAAAACCGTGCAGTCTCGGCTGGATTTCCATTGAGCTCTGCCCCGGGCCGGTGGGAGGCGCCAGAGGCTCAGTGCGTAGGCTCTGTGTGGCAGGGCCCTGCCTTTCTGAAGCACTTTGAAGACCCTGCTGGGTTTTGCACATTTGCACCTGTGGACATCCGCGATCTAGAAGATTTTAAGAACTGGTTTTGAAAAGACACTTGTCTGTCAAGTGCACTGGCCATTGTGCAGTGACAGGGTCCAGCTGCTGCCTGCAGCTGAGGATGGACTTCGAACTTACCGTTCCTGACCCTGACAAAAGTGCCTGTAAATAGTTGTGGGTGTGAGCTCGAGGATGGCACCCACACCTCAGGGCTCCTGTGACCAGCAGGATTCATGGACCCCGCTGCAGTCTGGGGCATTCCGTTTTCATCTGCCTAGAACATTCTTGCTCGGTTTCCTTCTCTGCACGGAGGGCTCCCCGACTCCAGTATTTTCAGTTCCTGTAAGTGCAGTGTCACGGGGAGGACGTGGCCCTGCAGGCTGGGTGCTCTTGACCTTGGGTGAGCTGTCTGCGTGAGGGTGGGGGCCCCGCCTGAGGGCCCTGAAGCATACAGGGACATTCAGGACCGTCCTCGGCCCGTCACTCTGGCTGCCAATCACAGCTCTGGTCTTGGAATTCCTCTGCCCATCTGCCCCGTGGCATCGGCCCCAGCTGCCTTGTCCCGCATCTCCTGAATGTCAGTCACTACCAGATTTCCCCAACGAACCAAAATGAGACCGCTGGCTTTGAACTGGAGTCGTTGGTCCCCATGGTGACACGTTGTCTGTTACACTCAATGTGAGGGTTCGTCTCTCGCTTTACTCCATAGAAATGATTGAAATCCGTAGGACACTCATTCTCTGCGGATGCCACGTGCCCAGACTGGACAGTCACCTTGCAGATTCTGCCTTGCCAAAGTGGGGTTGCTGTACCCTAGAAATGCTGGAGTTTTCGAGGATATGTCTATTTTTAATATTGTTTTTACCTCTGAGTCTTTATTATTAATACAAGTATAAGATGTTGCTTATTTTAAAATGGGAAAGACACAAAATGGAATGTTTATTCTCTTCTCAGATGCTCTTAAAACAAGTGGTATGAATCTTCCTAGTTAAATGTGATTAATATATGGCCACAATTGCAGATCAGACAAGGTCGGTGTGAAGTTGGGGCTGGCCCTGGGTGCCCTGTGTGATAATGAGCCCCTCCAGGGCAGTCAGGCGGTACTACCTGACCACTGGGAAGTAAGACTCAGGTCCCGGCCAGTGCAGATTGTCTGGCTTCCATAGTTCCAGTGCAGCTGCAGACATGGGGTTAGGATGTGCAGCACTTTTACATATAAAATGTGGTAGACTGAATATTTTATGACATGGAAATGTCTTACACGATTATCGCACTTGGTTTTTAAAAAATAATGCCAAAGTGAGGCTTAAAATTTTTAGGACATATTTTCAGATTGGAGCTAAGTTACATTCTCCTACAACCTTTCTCTTACAACCTTCTGGGTGCCTGGCCAAGAGATGGGGTTGTCTCTGTTTACAGTGATGCAACAATCTCAACACGTGTTGGCCACCTTTGGACTGCTGTTAGCGATCCGTAACTTGAAAAGGCCTCAGTTGACCGCAGCCCAGCCTCCCCCACCCCTGGTAAGATGTGGACAGGAGCTTGAATTGACCTACTGAATATAAACTAATAAAGCCTAAATCATGTCATATGAGATGTCACTTGCTAACTTGTTTTCTAGTTTACTGTGTGGTGACAAAATTGGAGCCCAGAATAAAGGCTCTTTAACAGCTCAGGCGTGATTAGACCCATCCTGCTCTGGACATGCGAGTTGGCAGGCTTTGCATCATACAGAACCAATATTTACCCTAAAGGCTATGATCCCCAAACAAACATGAAGTTAAATTGAATTAGGTGAGAGATTTCCATCAGAAAGAGATGGCCTTCGGAAAGCCGGCTCCCAAACGGCTGATTAGTTTGAATCCAGCCTTAGGCAGCTTGAAAAACCCCCTGTGCACGTGTGTGTGCACGTCCCACAGTTTGATGGATGGAGAATGGAAGAAAGGAGTGCAGTGTGACTACTCTGGTGGGCGTGTCCTCTCGCTCTCCTTGCTGTGCCTCTGGTGTGCACACGCCCACTGGCAGTAGAGATGGACTGGGGCCAGCAGGGGCATGGTGATTAAGGTGCTGGACTCCCGCATGGCCAACTGTGGTTTGAGTCCTGGACCTGGTGGTTTGCTTTCTCACTTTCCTTCTCTCTCTGGTGAGTGCACGTGGTCTAAGGCAAATTTAAAAAATAAATAATTCTAAAGAAATAGATGGACTTCTTTTTTAAAAATACATTCACTTGGAATTAGCATAGGAAGGAAACTGAGGCAGTGGGAAAACAGGACTTGCTGGTGACATCCTGAAGCTGGGCGTGACCAAGGAGACCCGGCTGCGAGGCCTTCCCACCCAGAAGTAGTAATGGGGAGGCCCCAAGTATGTCCACCAGCTCTCAGCGTGTTCACGTACCCCGGAGTTTTAGCTCAGTGCACTGTTTCCAGTACCTGAGGCCCAGCTGACCTCCTGGAAGGCCCAGGCCTGCTCACAGACAGCCTGCCTGCTGCCTTGATTTGCCAACTGAAGGTGCTTGAGTCCTGGGAGAGCGGCTTTCTGGGTCTGGTTCGCAGACAGCCGGGGCCTGTGTTCCCTGGTTAGGGACTCCCAGGTAACATCTGCCTTCTTCAAATGAATGGTTTGCATTGTGACTCCTGGGGTCATGACAATAGGCCAGTTTCCACTCAACACCAAGAACCTGCTGATGCTCGGGCCACCCTCAGGAAGCCTGGACCCCCCAAAGGAAGAGCTCCTGCACAGGCCTTGCAGCCTTGACGCAGGGGGCCCACGTTAGCCCAGCAGCGAGTCTGCTGAACTGTCTTCTGTGCGGCCAAAAACTCCCGGGAGACAACCCACTCGCAGCACACCTGCTGCAGGAAACGAAGGCTGTCCCACGTCTGCAGCTCTGCACTCCTGCCTGCCAGATGTAGCTCCATAGCCAGGGTCGGGGGCTCCACAACCCCACAGTGGGGCACAATGCCCTGTGCAGCCAGCCACCGGGCCAGAGCCATCCCGGGTCCCGCAGTCGCTGCGTCAGACTCCATCTCTTTCCAGTCTGGACCACCTCTGCTAGGCCTTCACTCACAGCTTAGCTCAGAGGCCTACAGTAGAGGGATGTTTGCCCTTAAAAAAATATGGACAGAGTACACACACACAACTTTATTGTAAAATGGTAGCTATTTGCATTTATAAATAAAAACACTGGCTTCGGAATCCCCAGATGGGGCAGCTAAGCTTTCCAGGGAGGACTGGGGTTCTGATTTAACATAGAAAAACCTAGTGATTCTCCCTGAAAATGTGATACATGAGGGGGTTTTCAAAAATAGGGCAAACTTTGCCACACGGAATTCACAATCCAGCGGAAAATGCGTGGTTCATTTGGGAAAGCGGAATGAAGACAGGCCTGCCTCTGCAAAGCCGAGACTGGTAGGTGACAAAGACTCCAGTTCCAGCTCAGCCCATGGCCTAGTGATTAAGGGAACTGGCTTCTCACGGCCCACAAGTCCCCAACCCAGAGCTTGGAAAGTATGCCAGGCATGAGTGCACGGGTGCCTGAAATTGGCAGATGGAGAAACCGAGAAGGGACAGGCATGGCCAGGCCCTGCTGGGAGTGCTCCCCCCCCCCTCTATTTCTGACAAGCATGTGGACTCTCTGGCAAACAAAGTTAAGGAAGAAAGGAACAAAGACCGTGGTTCTAACCAACGGCCACAATGTTACTAAGATCAGCCCCTCTATCACACTTCTTCTCCTGAGAGGAGAGCCCTTGGAGGATGCCCAGGGTCCTGGGAGGTGCCTGAGATGTCCTCTCACACACTTGTGTCCTTATCTAACCACTTCACTGCCCAGGCCACACTGGCACTGACACAGGTCAGCTCCTGCTGGTTCCCGCAATGCCGCCCCCAGGCTCCACTCCAGGGCCTTGTGCCTGGCCCTCTTGCAGCGAAGACCTCTCACAGCGTAGGCCGAGATGACGGGTGCTAAGAAACACACGAGCCGACATTTACTCCGAAAAGTGTCTCATTATGTTAAAAACCACTTTAAATAAAGTTCTCACATGTTCAGTAAAACTTATGCATCCTTCCTTGAAACATCATTTTCAAAAAATCACAAGCCCTGGCACGAGTGGGCGGGGAGTGGGTGATGTCCCCCCTGAGGCTCCAGGGCTTCCAGTCCAAGTCCATGGTCCCTGAGGCGTGGTGACCCACAGGCTCCTGTCACCGGGGACAGAGGCACTCCTGGTCCTCTCCAGGGCAGGGTTAGGCCGAGCAGATGTTCACTTGAGGCGACGCCCTGGGCTCAGTCATCGTAGTAATAATCTAACTTTGTGAAGACAGTTTTGCAGCCTTTATCAGAGAACACTCTCTCCTCTTTGGGGAAAAATGTCATCTCCTCAGCCACCCTGCTGACGATGTCCTCATCGATGGCGTAGCCTCGGGCCTGCATTTCGACCCGGATGCACATTTTGACGTGCTTGTATTCCAGGGGCAGGAAGGGGACAAAGTAGTCGATGAGATTTCGGTCAATTAAGCTGCTGTGCCAGAAGCCACCTGGGAGAGGAGAGAGCAACTGTGTCCCCATCCACCTACCCACCTTTGTCGTGCAACACACATCACTGGGTTTCGGCCCTGTCCTGGATGCCAGCGCTGGAGCTGGAGCTGGGCACCTGCACCCAGGAGCCCAGGATCCACCCAGGAAGGCAGACGCAGCCTGCTGGGCGCAGCGGGCTTGTTAATAAACACCTGGGAAGTTGTCACACTTCTGTGACAGCAAAGGGCAGGGTGACGCCACAAGGTGACAAGGCATACCTGCTTTATACTGTGGGCTCCCAGAGGCTTCCCAGTGTGGGGACATGTTTAAAAGAATCTGAGGTGTGGGGACATGCTCTGAGCAAACACCACCTGCTCTTTTGGGGTTTGGCAGAACCTTGTAACTTGTCTTTCCCTGACCTTGGCTGCAGACAGAGCAAGGGTGGAAATTGCTAGGGGCGTTCCAACAGACACATCTGATGGACTTCAAGAAACATCTTGACCCCAATTAGTAAAATCCAATCCCTGCTCTGCATCTGAAAGGTTCTTGAGGCTTTTCTGGGTGTGGTGGTGCACTCCTTATGGAGAAGTTCTTTAGCTCCTTCCCCACACCTAACAGCTAGTTCTCTGCATTAGAAAAGATGAGACTTTCTCTTGATGGGATTATCACCAAGGGATACACCTGGCCCTGTATGACTAAGCCTTCATCGCTTTGTTAATTGCTTCTTATTGTCTGTAACCTGGCAACCAATCTATGAAGTGTCATGAAACATCCATGTGTAATGTCTCCTTGTACTATAAATAAAGAGGCCCAGTTTGTCTGGGTGGCCCACGCGACTCAAGCAGCGGCTCAGCTGCGGCACAAGTTGCTTGGGCTCCCTAGGCTCAGGCCGCCTGTGTCCATTTCTACTCTATGTCTTTGTCTCATTCTTTCCAGTTCCCCGGTCCTGGCAAGATGGAGGGCTTTCTCTTTCTCGTCCTCTTTCTCTTCCTCATCAGCAGCCCCCTGATCATGCCAGACCCAAGCCCTGGGGCGGACGTCGACATCCCAGGACCCAGGAACAAGCAGAGAGGCAGAGGCAGGCAGGAGGAAGATTCTGGGGTGGCAGAGTTCCAAAGAAAGCCACAGGTGGAAGGGGTTCGCAGGGAAGGGCCGAGCGGCCGCTCTGCTATCCTCTGGCAGCAGGACTAGCAACATAGCAGAGACCCCTACGCTCCCCACACCAGGAGAGCATGCTGGGGGACCAAACCTCAGACCCCTGAACATTAACGTGGGCAGACCGCGATGGCATACGAGGCATGTGCCTTGCGTGCTTCCCTGGACAAGCGCTGATCTGCACCTGCCCCTCCACCCGCTCTCGACCCACACACACTTCCTCTGGACCACACGGCACCTGTCTGATGGCCTCGAGAGCATAGGGTTTCTTGGGTGGACTGTTTCCCTTCTTTACTGTTTAATTCTCTCTCTTTTTAAAGGATTTTTGCCATAGGGCAATGCAATTGTTGGAGAGAGACAGAGAAAGAGGGAAAGTGAGAAAGCACCCTGGGGGGATGGCCATGCCACGATCCTGTCTCCTCTCGGGTTTTGGAGTACACATGCACACACACCCAGCATGTTTCTCAAACTGCTGGGTCCCAGACTCGAACCCTGTAGTTGGCTGTGTGGGATCCAGCCACCTTAACCACCACGTAACCAGCTGGCCTCAGAAGCCTCATTGTTTCTGCCCTCACAGCGCACTCACTCGTTGACCTTGTCTCCTGACCAGCCCTCCCCACCTTCCGCATTGCTCTCCCCACCCCTGACTTCACTCTGTTCTCCAGCAAACAGGCAGCAGGCCCAGGCCTGTCCCTGCCACCTGAGACCCTCCAGGGCCCCCACCTCTCTCACCTGGAATGACACCTGAGGCCTCGCTGGCCCACCAGGCCCGATATGATTTGCACCTCCCAACAGTACGCCCCTCACCTTGCCTCTGTCCTCTCCTGTCCATCCTGAGCTGGCCGCAGTGACTCAACCCAAGCCGCCCAGAGCCCTGGGGTGGGCTGAACCCTCCAACGAATGTCTTTCCCTCAGCTGTCCACAGGCTCAGCCCTCAGTCAGCTCAGATGCCACCCACATAGGGAGCTGTCCTGACCACTCAATTTAAAAGGGTGCCTGTCGGCGAGGTTCTATGTTGGGTAGACATCGGCCAGGATGGAGGCGACTTGGCAGTAACGTGAGGACACAATGAAAATCCATCCATTGTTGGAGTTCTGTGCACCAATTCTCAAGGACTGAATTGGGGCCGCTGTGGGACCCCGTCAGATGAACATGCTGTTCCGGCCCAGCAAGCAGCCAAGCTAACCTCTGACCCCACGCCCTAGGAATATGGTGTGTCTAGAATCAGATAATGTGAACATTATGATCCAGAGACATGATGGCATTCCAGCTGCAGTGCATAAAATGACCTCCTGCCATCTCTTATCAGTTCTCCTGCAGCTTATCAGAGGGAATGGATCCTGTGCTAATTATCTTACTAAAATGACTGACATTGCTGGTAGTGGGGCCATACATTTAAGGTGGATTGGGCACTTTATCTATCTACCTAGATATCTATCTATCTATTTAGAAGTTTTTGCTATAGGGCGCGTGGGCTCGCCAGAAAGACAGAGAGAGACAGAGAGACAGAAAGTGAGAAATCACCCCTCAGGGGGGATGACCATGCCACAATCCCTTTTCCATTCTCCTCTCGGGATCTTGGGCATGCCCACATGCCCGGTGTGAGTTTAAGCCACTAGGTCCGGGACTCGAACCACGGTCGACTACATGGAAGTCCAGCAACATAGCCATTACACCAACTGCTGGTCCCTACTTTTCTATTTATTTAAAAGTTACTTTTTAACATCCTGTGGACTGACATTAAAATATTGGGCTAGTTAAAAAGGGTTATGTTTTGGGGCCGGCAAGTGGCGTGGTGGTTAAAGGCGCTGGACTCCCACATGGCCGACCACGGTTCAAGTCTCGGACCTGGTGGCTTGCTTTCTCACTTTCTCTCTCTCTCTCTCTGATCAAACTGAAAAATAATAATGATATAATAATAAATAAAGTTAAATAAAAATAATTTTGAAAAAAAGGGTTATGTTTTAAAGCAGCAGGTCCAGGTCACTTTCTTTTTCTTTCTTTTTTTAAAAAAATTTTAATAATTATTTCTTTAATTTTATTATAATTATTTTAAAATTTGACCTGAGAGAGACAGACAGAGAGAAAAGGAACGTGAGAAGCGCCTTAACCCCATCAGCTGCCGGCAGGTCACTTTCTATAGAGACGTTATGTTCCATAAATCTGTTTGAAGGAAAGAAATAAAAGGATGCTTGTCTTTGTCTCAGCACCTCCAACCTTGAGTTTTATCTCTATCAGGGAAAAACGTGTGTGTATAAATGTGTGTGTTCGTATGTGTGTATAGATGTATGTTTATGTGTGTGTAGATGTTCGTGCATACACGTATGTTGTATGTGCACATATACGTGTGTTTCTATGTGTGCATAAATGTGTGTTTACAACATGTATTTGCATGTATGTGTTAGCATATAAATATGTGTACACACATGTCTGTGTATACATATGTATTTGTGTGTGGATGTGTGCGTGTTTGTACATGTATAAATATGTGTGTATGCATGTATGTTTGTGTGTGTTTAAGTGTATGTGTACATCTAATACAGTTTCCTTACCATTATTGGGCCCTAAGCTCTCTAAGAGCAAGAATTCCTGTATTTCCTTACTGCTACATCCCCAGTTTTAGCACCAGTGCCTGACACCTGGTAGATGCTCCAGAAATATGTTACGTGGGCCACGAGGTGGCATGGCAGTCAAGGTGGTTGCATCCCACATGGACAACTGAGAGGTTCAAGTCCCAGACCTGGCAGCTTGGGAAACACACCAGGTACGTGTGCACATGTGCCCAAAATCCTCAGAGGAAAATGGAGGAGAAGAGGTTGCGACATGGCCATCCTTCCTGTGGGTGATTTCTCACTTTCCCTCTCTTTCTCTCTCCCTCCCTCTCTGACTCTCTCTTCTGCAAGCACACACACCTTATAGGAAATTTAAAAATACTCATGTGTGTTAGGTTGTTGCATGAGTATTTGGCCACCTGCCTAAGGCCAGTTGGTAGCAGCCACACCAGGTCCCCGACGCACCAGCTCGGCTCTGCTCTCCCACACATGGGCTCCAGGCACCCAGCCTCATCTGGCGGGCATGGAGGACATGGCCTCTGCCGCGTGGGGTCATGAATCTCGGCATGCCAAGAAATTTATGTAACACCCCACATTGCTCATAGCTCCAAAGTGCATTTCTTGGCAAGTTGGTTTCAGATGTGACATTTGTTTGTCACCTCACCAGTCTGGGCAGAGCAAGGACTTGAACAGTCAACATGCGTGGCTTGAAGGTTTTACCCAGTGCACCGGCCCTCATTATGGCCGTTTTCTACCTCCCAGGGCTCATGGTCTGACAGTCCCCAGAGAAGAAGTAAACTAAAAGTTAAAGGCTCTGGGGCCAGCAGATGGCATAGTGGTTAAGGCGCTGGACTCCCACATGACTGACCGTGGTTTGAGTCCCAGATCCAGTGGCTTGAAAATCATGCTGGGCACATGTGCGTGCATGACCAAAATCCCAAGAGGAGAATGGAGAAGGGGCTGCAGCCATCCCCCGAGGGATGATTTCTCACTTTTTCTCTCTCTGTCTCTGTCAGTCTCTCTGGTGAGTGCACACACCCTTTGGCAAAATGAATGAATAAATAAATGAATAAACAAACAAACAAATAAATAAATAAAGGCAGGCTGTCTGGCTCAAGTTCTGGGCCAGCCCGATGGCCTGGTGGTGAAGGGAGCCAGATTCCACATGGCTACCCGTGTGGCCTGAAAAGCATGCTGGGTATGTGTGTGTGTGTACCCAAAATCTGGGCAGAGGGGAGCAATGGAGCAGGGACCACGGCACGCCCCATCGGGGGTACTTTCTCCTTCTCTCTCTCTCCCTTTTTCTCTCTCTCTTATAAGTACACGCACCCTCTGGCAAGATTTTTTTTTTTTTTGAGAGATTTTCGCTATAGGGCGCGTGCGCTCGTCAGACAGAGAGAGACATAGAGACAGAAAGCGAGAAATCACCCCCCAGGGGGGATGGTCACACCGCAATCCCTTCTCCTCCATTTTCCTCTCGGGATCTTGGGCACGCACGCACACGCACCTGGTGTGAGATTTAAGCCACCGGGTCCAGGACGCGAACCGCGGTTGGCTACGTGGGAGTCTAGCGACATAGCCATTATGCTAACTGCTGGTTCCTGAGGCAAGATTTTTTTTTTTAAAAAAAGGCTCAAGTTTTGGAATCAGAGACACCTAACAGTCTGCGTGGCCCTGAGCAAGCTGCTACACCTCTCTGAGCCTCAGGCTCCTCCTCTGTAAAACTGAGACATAACAGTTCCCTCTCCCAGGCTACTGCGAAGATGAAATGAACTACGCAGTAGAGTGTTTCACGCAGAGCAGAGCACTTCTGCTGTCTGGCTGTTATTCCGAGACACAGAACCTCAGACCCCTGGGGCAGTCAGAAAGTCCTAGGCAGAAAGAAAGGAAGGGACCTAGCAAGTCACCATCTACCCCGCAGTTGTCCCTAGTCACCTCCCTGCTCAACCACCTGCTTGTGCTCTAAAAGGAAAATCATTTACCTGAAGAAAACGGGAACTAACTCCATGATCCTTTTTTTTTCTACAGATCATGTGCACTTGCCAGAGACAGAGAGAGAAAGAGAGAGAAACGAAGAAGTCACCCCCCAGGGGATGGCCATGCCACTGTCTCTTCTCTTCGTCTCCTCTTGAGATTTTGGGCAAACACACACACACACACACACACAACACACACACACACATGCGGTGTGAGTTTCAAGTCGCCGTGTCCAGGACTCAAACCATGCAGTCAGCCGTATGGAACCTAGCCACCTCAACCTCGCGTCCCCTGGTGGCCCTCCCTCTTTTTTTAAAAAGAGGCCCTCTCAAACTTCAGTGTGTACAAGTCGCCTGGGGTTTAACACAGATGCCCCCTAGCAATTTCACTGGGGAAGGGGCTGTATTTCTCCCTGGTTTCCAGGGGGAGGCGATGTCGATGCTTTACAATTAGGGTGTGCGACTGGGAACGCCGTGCGAGCAGCCGGTGGCAGACTTACTGTTCCTGTTGTTAAAGACGGACACGGACAAGGCATGCTCCATGTCTTTGAGCTTGATTTCTTCCCGCTGCTTCCCACTTCTCCAGAAATCTAGAGCCACGTCTGTGATCCTTTCTGCTCCAGCATTGCTGCAAAACAATTCCCGTGAGTAAGGCCAGGCTCTCCCCGGAATCCCCAGGTGCACTTGGAGTTCTTCAGTCGTGTCCCAGCCCTGATCTTACCTAAGAAATATGAAGATGGCTTTCTGGTAGGAGACCCCATCGACCAGGTCGTAGTAGTCCAGGAAAGGCTTGATGGCATCGATGAGGCCCGCGTGCATCTTATCCATTTCATCGAATATGAAGATGGACCGTGCGCAGGCGCTCACGTTGCCTCGGATCCACAGCTGTAGCTGGTCCTGAATTACAAGGGGAAGGCCAGTACAAAGTTCTCTCAAGTGTAATAGAACCAACTTTTGTTTTTAATTGCCAGAAAGAAAAACGTAGCCCCCAGTGAGGTGTGGCCATGCCGTGATCCCTTCTCCGTCATTTCTCCCTCCTGTTGGATTTTGGGCATGCACTGCACGTGCCCAGTGAGTTTCTTGTCACCATGGCCAGACTTCACACTATGGTTGGCCACATGGGATCTGGTTCCCTAACCACTAGGCAGTGGGGTCAGCTCTTGAAACAGCTCTTCTACCGCTGAGAGCAATGGCTACACTTACAGAGCACCATGTGGCTGGTGCGGGCTAAGAGCTTCACACATCCGAGCTCTCTCGTGCCTTTTAACCTCACAAGTGAGCATTAGCCTACTTTTTTCATAGATGAGGAAACTGAGACACAGAGAGCTTAATCAATTTAAGACTATAAAATTAGAGCCAGTCTCGTGGCATGGAGGTTAAGGTGGCTGGGTCCTCCATGGCCAACCGCACAGTTTGGATCCTGGACCTTGTGGCTTGAACCAGCAGATGGTGCAATGATTACATCACTGGACTCCCATGTAGTCAACCACAATTCAAGTCCTAGACCTGGCAGCTTGAAACTCATGCCAGGCATGTGTGCATGCATGACCAAAATCCTGAAAGAACGGATCGCAGTATGGGCATCTCCCTTGGGGGCGATTTCTTGCTTTCTGTCTCTCCCATGAATGCACGCACCCGATAGCAAAAACTCTCTCTCTTAAAAAGAAAGAAAGAGGGGCCAGCAGGTGGTGTGGCGGTTAGGGTGTTGGACTCCCACATTGTCGACCATGGTTCAAGTCCTGGACTTGGTGGCTTGTTTTCTCACTTCCCCCTTCTCTTGCTCTCTCTCTCTCTGTCACTTTGGTCAAATTAAAAAATAAATAATAACAAATAAAATTAAATAAACAATTAAAAAAGGAAAGTAAAATACACTGGCACATATGCATACATGCCCCAAATCCTGAGGATAGAGATGGGATTGTAGCATGACCACCCTCCCATGGGTACATTAGCACGTTCTCTCTCCAGCAAGCACAAGCACCCTACAGCAGTTAAACAGTTAAAAAAAAAAAAAAAAGGTACCCTTTGCATGTGGCAGAGCTGGAACCCGAGCCCAGACCTGCCTAACCAAAAGCCCCTGCCACAACTGATTCCTGGGCTCTGAGATGCCAGCGATGCCGTACCAGTGCACCCTGGTCCTCTGCCATCAAGATGGCAATGGTGGGGGCCAGATGGTGACAGGGTGGTACAACACGACACTGTGCAGGGCAGATCCACACGGGAAGGACCGGTTCAGGTCTGAGACCTCACTGAGGACACCGGGCATGCGCGTGCCCATGATCTGGGCTGGCTGAGGCAGGAGTGGGCTGCGGCCTCAGGGCCCTGTCAGGAGTGCTTTCCCCTGTCTCTTTCTCATGGAGTAAATACGTAAAATGTTTTTAAAAAGGCAAAGATCATACAGGTCCTGTGTGCACATCCTTGGAAGAGGGTGGAGGCCCTTCAGTCCACGGGACAGCGTGGGGAGCGGCTCGAAACTCCAGATGGCAGAAGCAGGCAGCGCAGCTCAGAGGGGGTGAGGTGGTGGCCTCACGCTCACCTGCTTTGGGTGAGCACGGTGAGGGACGCTGAGGCTTCTGGGAAGACGCCTGGAGTGTTCTGACAGCTACCTAGCCATCGATATTCCAAAGGACATATCTAGATATTGCTAATAACGTTAGGCAAGGTAAGGAGAAAAGACCCTTTACAGACTTAATCAAAACGTGTGCTACGGTTCTACACAACCAGTAGGGTTTTCCCCCGCGTCGTGAGGTGTGGAAATGGGCATCTGTTTTCTAAGAAAGAGCCTGGAAGTTACAGTGCAGATCTTGATTTTTTTAAAAGGTTTTTGTCATAAGGCACTTGTCGCAGAGAGAGGGAGAGGAAAAGTGACAAATCACCTCCCAGGGGATGCCACACCGCAATCCCTTCTCCTCCACTCTCCTCTCAGGATTCTGGGCACAGCACGCACATATGCCTGGCACAACTGTCAAGCCCCGGGTCTGGTCTCAGTGAGCCACAGTCAGCCATGTGGGTGAGCGTCCAGCACCTTGACCACCAGGCCACCTGCTGGTCCCAGACTTACTGTGGTTTTACTAAGCCACTTTGACCATGATTACAATCAGCGTTCCACGTGTGTACCTAACCTAAGCGTGAGCTCTAGACTAGCCCGAATTTACAGAGGAGAAACCTCGAGCGCAGGGACGGGGCTGCCTGAGGCTGTCTGACAAGTCATTTAAATAAGGATTCACTCAAATCTGTTAGGCGCCACTAGCCAAGGTTTTCCGACTCTGCTACCCCGGCACTAGAACACGTACTGGACACTCGTGACAGGCAAGACACTGGCCACGTGCTTTACTGTGACCTCCCAAAGTTCATTAGGGCAATTACTATTATGTCCCCATTTTACAGATGATGAAATCAAGACACAGGCAAGTTAAGACACGTGCACCAATCACAAATATTGAGTGGCACCTTAATCCTAACTAGGATGACTAACTCGTTCCAAGTGATCTAGAACTTTCCCAGTTTTGGCACTGAAAACCCAGCTGTGTGGGAACACCTGCAGTGGTAGTGACCCTGCAGCTCGCCCAAGAGAAAGGTGCGCTCATACAGGTGAGGGCCAAATACCTGACTGCTGGGCCCATGGGAGGCTGATCTGAAAAGGCAACGTGAGCTTTCTGTTTTCAATATCACACATGTGTGCATGTGAAAAAGAGAGGGGGGAGGAAGGGAAGGGG